GTTTCTCAAAAAGGCATATCAATCAATCTCTATAACGAGACATGGATTCCATCAACTAACTTATTATTTCACCAATATATATTATCATCATCCAATCTACCAAGAATATTGACCCATCTTAGAATCTCACCTTTTAATAAATCAAAACGATGATTAACATATACAGATCATAATAGTTATATCAGGATTAAGAATATAAGTACATTTAATAGTTTAGAGAATTGCTTTTGTCAGTCAGTCTAAAGCAACTATCTCTACTTGGTCCCGTTCAATACATACAAAATGCACTAGCACAAGAAGTTGGAACTATACCATTCCCATAATCAAGATAAACTACATATAATCTTGTGCTACAATCGTACCGATGGCATGTCCAATTTCCATCTTAGATTGTGAACAAAAAAACTTTATACTTATAAGAACCGATGATTCAATCCTCTGTGTATAAGCTTAAACTCTATACACTAAATCATCTACTATATAAGTAAACAAGCAGCATAAACGAATATATGATCTATTAAAATAAATAAATAATTATTCTATAATAAATATTACTCCCTCCGTTTCAGAAAGAATGACCTCCTTTCCTTTTTAGTCAGTTTCAAAAAGAATGATCTCTTTCCTTTTTTGGTAACATTTTACTTTTTGCTTTTCACGTGGCATGTTTAAGACCACAAGATTAAGGACAATTTTGTACATTTGACATAACTTTAATTTAGGACTATAAGATCCAAAAGTCTTATTTATTTACTTAAACTCCATGCCAAGTCAAACCAGGTCATTCTTTATGAAACGGAGGGAGTATATCTAAACACATGGTTAATAGTATATATCCCAACATCATCTGGATACATAACTTCTCAACTCCTAAATTCACATTTCTTTCTTCCTATATTTTCTCCATCAATCTCTTCCCATTTTCACTCCCTCAATCTAAGTAGTTATTTCCTTCATTACAATTTTAATTTTTTTTTCTCTCTCCGGTCAATCGATTTCGCCTTCCTCAATAGGTAGATTTTCTTCTTCTCCAACTTACAGTTCATCACCTTTTGTTTTAATTTCTTTTGATCTTTCATCTTCAACGTCCTAATACATATAGATGATGTTCCTTCTTTTAGTATTGGGATTACCCAGTTAACCTCACCTAATATTGATTACCCAATTATTCGAAAAAGGATGCATCTTTTACTTTAAAATCAACCGTAGAAGAATGCCCAAAAAAAGGGAAAAGGTCGAGTTGTTGGTGGCTCCGGTAAGGGTTTTAGGTCGAGATCCATGGGTGACGCTACTGTTAAAAGTGGAAAAAACTCAGAG